GACCAGTTAACTGAACAAAGTCAGGGGTTGGCTGTCTCCAGGATTTCTCCTTTTCTTTTCTTAAAACAAACTTAGAGTTGGTGGCATGTTTCAAGTGGTAGAACACCTGTCTAGCAAATGCAAACTTCAAACACAAAACAAACAAATAAACAACAAAACTCTTAATAAAATTTTATAGAGATCTAAAAATACATATTAGGATAAAGCAGAGTTTAAAATGTTCCAGTTACTTTAGTTTCTTTCTGGATTTATATTTGTGACTATATATATATATATATATATATTTCAAATGATTTTAATACTTTGGATTCTTCGGTTTTAGTATTTTGCTATTTTCATTCATGAATAGTATGTAAATTAAGCAAACATTATGAGTGCAATCCTTTCAGTCCCTGTGGAGATGGGCTCCATAGGTAAATGGGAATAATAGCTTACCACGTCCTAGAAATCTGATAGAATTATTCACATGGGTAGCACGAGGAGGCTATGATCAACTCTTAAGTTTTAATATTAATTTCATGAATCACTCCAAGTACATACTGACTAAAAAAAAAAAAGTCGAGATTCCTGGATCAGGTTGTAGTCGTCTCTCAACTTGAGGGCATCATATTATTTCAAATGCTCACTAAAACTCAAGTATGCTAGGGGTCCTTGTTCTTTTTTACACTTTGAACAACTGACCCCCATACTCAGGGAATGATTCTTTGAGACTAGCTGAAGAATGCTATAATCCTCTTATTTGGAAGCCATATTTGCAAATGCTAAGAAGTTATATAGCAGCTACAATGTTCATCAGCATTAACAGCCCTTATTCTAAGTCAGGGGGCCAGGCCCTGCCATCTGACTCAGACTGTGACTCTGGGGGCAGTCATCAGATTTGTTTCTTCAACAGATCTTTTCTAGAATCAGAGCCTCTCAGAAGGCTAAGCAGATCAGACAATCAGAAAACATTATCCTATAGGTAAAGTAGCTCCTCCAACCATAGAGTAGAGTGAAAATCAGAATAAAACAAAAGATAACCATGTTTAATCCTTAATATGTAACCCCAGTTCAATATAAAGAAATTTCAAAAAAGAAAGAGATAAATGAATTCTCCCTAGAGACCTTCTGACAGACCATAGATATGGCAGGATGCCCAGAACCTTAGATAGGTACAATTTGGAATCAACCTCAGGTTATTTCCTTGTAACATCTTTGAATTCATTCTCTATGGTTGCCTTCAATCTATACAGTGTTAACTCAATTCATGGGTTCTTTTAACAAATAATTGATTTGGCACGTTCATTACAATGGCCCAGTATGTGACTGATTTCACTGAATGTTTCATTTTTCACTGGAGATTTGGCAGGTACCCTTGGATACTGTGATTATTTCACCTTTCTTTTTTTGTTGTTTGTTTCTTTTCATTATACATGAAGTGCTGGAGAGAGGCCATGCTTCCTGATTGAACACCAATTCTCCCTTTTCAACCCTTTCATGGAGAGTGCATGTTTCAACCCAGTGTTAGTTTGTGCACTGGACATGAGTACGAGGATATGTGAATTAGCCTTGATTTGTGAATTGGCTGTCATTTATATTTCCATAGTTGTCACATCCCCACTGACTTTAATTTCTGTACCCTAAAAATGGGAATGACAAATCTTACCATTTTCCAAAACAACAGCAGCAACACCACACATGGTGGGGATTAACCGAATTGGGCTCAAAAGCACTAGGAGAACCTCAGCGGCCATCCACACAAGTCAAAACTAGATTTGTGATTGACGGAGTGATTAAATGTGTGTGCAGCTCTCCGTGAGGCACAAGGGGAGATATACAAAAATGCACAAGGAATATTCACCTTTTAATCAGAGTTGAATACCCTAAGGAGCTGTTGGGCTGAAAATGCCAGTTGCCCCTCTAGAGCACTAGCCTTATTTCGTGTGTCAATGGCCACACGTGTGAGGCTACCACATTGGCCAGCATGGATATGGGACGCTTCCATCGACACAGAAAGTTCCAATGGCAAGGGCTGCTTGATACTGACAAATCTTCCCTCTCACAAGTACTCTAACTGGCTTGAAGACAACCTTTACAGAAGCACTGGGAAGGTTCATCTCACTAAATGAAGAGCACTCACAAGAAACAGTACATATATAGTGGATATGATATTTTTATACTTTCCTTCATCCAAACCCAGCACAAGGGTCTAAGACGCACTCAAGTGCATGTTTCAGAGATTTATCACCCTGCAATCAATATCTAATTTTAAAAAGAACTATGTCATGGGACAGAGGCTAGAAATACGCTATTTTCTTTCATATGTGAATTCTAGTTGATTCACTGTCTAAATGTGGAAGATATTGCCTACCTCCCTCACCATCCCCCTCCTCCCATCCCCCAAGAATGAGACTGGATTTATTGTAGGTCCATTCCTCTTTGTTTAGGGTGCCATATCTATTTGATAAAGAATGCACCAGTGGCAGAGAATCAAGTGTTTAACATGTTATATATGCAAAAAGGGTAAGCATCAAATATAGATGCAAGCTAAATAGCTGGAAGTGCATTGTTTATCATGCCTCATTTTATTGCTCATCTCACAAATACTGCATCTCTAACAGGGAATAGGCCTCACACATTCATAAATAGCCTACAAACCAAGCTATTAAATGAGTAATGTTTAAGCATAGCTTTCATAAAATAAGTAATAGAATCACAGAATTGACAGAGACCATAGAACTGTCAGAGAAATGGATATCAAAAGTGAGATAACTCAAGTTGAAAGCGGTGGAGTGCCCTAGTCACTTGATGAGTGAGAGTGAGGATTAGAACTCTGCCCCCAGGCCTGGACAGAGGGCTGCTTTGACTACTGTGTTCTTTGCCCCAGTCTGATAAGGGAGGATGGTGGGTATGAGGCAGGAAGAGAGGAGGGACAGTTGACCTCTCTCAGAGGCAAGTCCTGCTGGTCCAGGCCACCATCTAGGCTATCATATCATAGCCTGGCATGGGAGATGCCCTTTCTTCTTAACCCACATCAGCAAGTGTTTCATCTGGCTTCAAAGTTGCCACTTCCTGCAGTAACCTGAATGCACAGGCAATAGGATTTTTGGCACCAGAGCAAGAATATTCTGATCTGGTTAATTCGTTGCATTTGTGCCTTCACTTTCTGGCTATATAATGTGTTCTTTATGAATAGCTCCTAGTTCCTTTACCCTACTTCTCCCAAATAGGATCTGACCATTTATCTTGAGGAGTCATAGATGTGGTTTTAAGGGACTGTGCATTCCCTGGAAAAGAGAATGAAATTCACCTTTCAGTCCATACCCTATATTAAACCATCAAAGATGTCCATGATGAAAAAAGGCTAGGAACTTCTATAAAAGAAGGAATAACACACTTTTTAGAAAGAAAAAGTTTCAGTGAACCCAGAAATCTGTCCTGACTGTATGTATAGGAAGTATGAATTTAATGGAAATATGCAATGTAAATCAAAATTAATACAATGCTAAAAAAAAGCTTGGGGAAAAAAAGATTGAAGACACATTTCCCTTAATTATCTATTTCTCCATCAATTTGTCTAAAGTGTAAGAGTTACAAATTGACTATGGCATGTCAGTGAGATGGGAGACACCTTCTGCCTTGTTTCCCAGCAGTTAGACTTAACACAGACTTCCTTCTGGTTGGGAATGCCTTAACTGTGGCACTGCCTTGCTGCATGTACAGCTGTAGTGGTGGTAACTATGAAAAGGGACAAATAGTCTTTCCATCAACTGAGTTCTCTCACAAAAGGATTCTGAAAATTCTTCCTCATTTCTCTGGACTGGAGGAAGCTATAGTAGAAATGACAAAGGGCCCCATACACTGAACAGACACTAAAATGCAGCACCCCTAGTCAGATGATACTACGAAAGAGAGTAAGACCTTAGACAAGAATATGGCAGTTTCAGCTGTTCTGCAAAGATGATGCTGAGACTCCTGGAGAAAACATGGTCATAGAAGAGCTGCAGAAGGCTTTGGCCAAAAGCACCAGGAACCAGCAGGGCAAGGATTGCTGCAAACACCGATGCCTCTCTCAGAAAATGACTTTGTGTCCAGCCACAAAGGTCAGTGACAGTCATCAACTAATTACGTGCTAAGGGAAGGGTCTTGAAATCCTCTATCTTCCATTTCAGTGTTATTCCATTCAATTTAGTCGATGGAATTGAGAAATTCCATATACCCAATAGCAAGAAACCTGTTTGCCAGGTGTAATTTCAAACACTTAAAATTACATGTGAGAATGCAAAGCATGAATTTAAAGAGTATCTGTTGAACTGAATACAGAACCAACGTGAGCCACTAGTATGTTTGCCTGAAGCATTTGACTATAAATACAGTGGAGTTCAGCTGATTTTAGGAAGTTTCTCTTTTTATTTCAGGGGCTCCAGCCTTCAATATCATTCTTCCAAGGACAGAATGGCAGTGTGACCGTGACCAGGTAGCAAATATTCCAGGTAAGAATATTTTGATTTTTAAAGAAACTCTTATGGTATTGACTGACTTAAAAATACGATGCACTGTAAACCTCTTCAATATCAAGAGGCAGGACATAATGATTTGTATATTTTATTTTGACTTTACATGCGGTGTTAAAAACCCAAAGTACATATTATTTACACATCCACAATACAAGTTTACAAGATATCTATACATGTTAAAGTACTCTATAAAACAGTATAGAGCCACTTCACTTTAGGGTTACTTTTTATGCTGTACCATTAAAAAAGATACAATCTGTATTTACCTTTGCACAAATGGATAAAGCATTTAAAAATTAAATTAAAAGAATAGAGACTAGAATCAATGTTAGAAATTTCAACATAAATACTGATAGAACTCACATTACAACTACAAGGCAGCACATTGTTACAAAATGTTATCTGGGGGTCACACAGAGTTACCACGCTGGGATTAATATTGGTAAGGTAAATTCAAACACATGTTTGTTGTTGGTGGACTGAGTAGTGTTGATCATCGGTTGGTTTAATTTATTATTAATCTGTAATATTTTAGTTACAAAGCTGAAGTAGTTCAAGAACAGGTGGTTTAGCTTTTGAGCTTCCAGAGATCACAGGAAATGTTCTTTGTAAAATAACATTTTCAAGGGAAAAAGACAATTGTATCAGTATTCTACATTCTGTATAAAAATCATTCTGGTCTTCTGCATCCTATCCTCCCCCAAGTAGAATCTACCATCAGCGTTATCACAAGAAATCAGTGAAGTTATTTTTCCGACTAGGTCAGGAGCCTTCCTCTGCCATGGTACTCTAGATTAGGCTCAATAAATGATTGGGTTGTATGCAGCATTATTAACTGAAATAATCATTGGGGTTACACATCATCACCCGTTAAGTGGTTCCTGTCAAACTACGTACAGCTGACTCTGTATGGCCTCCACAGGTGTCACATCCCCTGGGAAACCACACTGGACTTCACATTATCGGTTTTATCCTTAGGAAAGCAGGAGTGGAATGCTTTATCATGGCGGAAGATATAATGCTGTTATTTGGGTGGATTGTTTAACAATTAATTGTTCTACGTTGCTTTTATGATTTTTTTGAAAGTCTTTTCAGGTGCTGGTTGAAAAACATTTACAACTGGCACTCAGTAAGTGATGTGCTATATTGAAAACCACTTGACATATTTTAGTACTTCTATCATTCTCATGAATAAGGCACGAAATGCACAGATTCAGGTAAACTCACATGTGGTATTTACAGTATATTGTCATTACCTGCATGACTTAGGAGAAATTTCTCACGTAACACAACATAGACAACATGACTGCACCACCGATGGGTTTTCATAGACTATTCCTGCTAAGCCAATTGTAATTCCTTTCCCATGTCTTTCTTTAGTTCTGTATTTTTTTCTTTTGCCTTGGGGGTAGGAGAAGTTAAAGGAGGAAAATTTTTTACTCTATGGGAAAAACAAACCCAACACAATAAAAATGAACCCTCATTAGTGTGTCCAAGGTTAAGTAATGTGACTCAGGCTTCGATTCACAGTGGACAGGTAAATTTTGCTACTGAATACTGGTGGATAAATCAACGATACCTCTTAATAGCTCTAGCTCCTTAAGATGGCCAGACTGGAATAGAAGTCTTAGTGAATAGCAGCATGAAATTACTTGGAACTTACATTCTGGCATTGGGTTCCACATAGGTTGAGTTCATTGTTTTGACTGTCCAAGGAGCTTTGATTGTATTCCTTTCTCAGAGCTGAACCCAATGGACTGATGTGGGAAGAAGTTAGAGTTTCTTGTTCAGTCATGCTCAATGTAAACAACTCCATAGCACAAAAAGATGCACTGGGCACCTAAACAAATCCTAGTGAGTACAGATACATTCTCATTCTCTCCTCTCTCTCTTACTCTCTCTCTCTCTCTCTCTCTCTCTCCCACATGCACACACATTCACACACTCACACTTGCAACACAGTTTGTTGGTGGCATGAAACAAAAAAGGCCACACATGAAAAAAATGCTACAGTTTGGGTCAAAGACTGAATTTTTAGCAAATTGCTTGGTAATCTACAAGTTCATTTTTTTTTCTGAGACATTACCATCTTTTTTTGACATTTGTGCAAGAGGCAAGGTGAATGCATACGTATTAAATTGTTCACATTTAATGGGAAGACCACACATAATGGCAGTCTAAATTGAACCCATTTTCAAGTATTTGTTCACAGATTCTTCTGAGTACTGTATAGGCTCTTTAGACTGGTTAAGGTAGCCCTTCAGAGCTACACATCTCTTTAGCTTCAAACAAAAGAAACGGGGTACCCAGCACCTTCCTTTGTTTTCAGGCAAGTACACAGAAGCCTTCCTGCAGTAGCTACATGTAGCAAGTTCAGATGTCGCCAAAGTTAACAGAGTTTCTTTGGCCACTTGCTTCTCTTAAAACACCAGCAAGTCTCTTGTCTTAAGGTACCCTTACGACCTCATCCTCTCAACTACATGGACAGGATAAAGCCACACAGGAATAGCACACTTGAGGTCTAGTAAGTGTATTTGTTCAGTGGTCTGACAGATGTGGTTTGAGGAACAAAGGAAGGCTTTGGTGGCACATCAGGTTTTAAGGACGGTGTCCTCTTTAGTCCCGTCCTAGGAAGGGTGCCATTACTGGTGTAGCTGCTCTGTCTGGAGAGGGAAGGCTGCAGATGGACACTCACTGGTGTCCCCTGAATATAGTCCACCTTCGCTCCTGTGGGGGTGGGCATATATCCTCCACGGTTCATACTAGGCTGTCTGGATAATAAAACACCATTTGGTGAGTTTAAGTTTTTAGGCATAGCAGATATAGAGTGCCTCTGTGACGAGTTTTTGTGATAACCCCTTTGTCTTTCCAGAGAAGTCATTGGGACCCCAGGAGTGGTGGGGACATCTACTCGCTTGGTTGGACTATTTCTGGGAAGTGTTGATGGAGGAGAGTAGAGTGAAGCCTCCCGATTAGGGACCTTAGGTGGGACCTCAGACATTGGTCCCATGGTGTCCAGCATTAGGGTCTGGTGGGCCATTTGGATGTCCCCCATGATGGCTTTGGGGTTACTATTTGGGTCATTTAGATGCTTCAGGAGATCATTGAGGGTATTTCTGGAATCCACAGAACGACGGTGATCTCTCTTACTGGATGACTTCGTAAGAGGGTGATCAATGTTTTGAAGCTTCTTTTCAGCTTTGTGAGCATTGGAGTTTGAGAAAGATGTATTGTAGTCATGGGTAGCGTTTGGAAGAACAATGGCACTGGGGATATGCCCATGGCTTAATGGAGAGTGAGGTGGAGGACTAGAAGGAAAAAACTGTGGGGTTTCTTTCCTTAAAGCTCCATGGCTGTGGGCCTTGTCTGAGTGGCTCTTCATGGCCTGCAAGGTCTTCTGGTGGAGCACAGGTGTGGACTCTGGTGTGGGGAGAGCTGCCAGCTCTGGAGGTTGGCCTCGATGGTCCATCACCATAGATGTTGTATCTCCATTGGGTGGTAGCTCTTTTCGACTGGTGAGCAGGTTACTGTAGAGTTTGGGGGAATCAATATTCTGTTGGTATTCCTTGACTGGGCTATCAAAGAGACCATTCAGTTTGGCAAAGCTTCCACTAGAGTCTGTGCACGACTGGGCAGATTCTGCATCTTTATGGATCTTTCTGTTCTTCCGAACAAACATGTCACGATAGCAGTAAACTGCCACACCTGCAATAAATGCACCCAAAACAAAAGCAGCAAAGACACAGGTGATGAGGACATTCATGTGGACCATCTGGTTAGATTCTCCGGACTGGACTTCCCATCGTACACCTGCAACAGATGCATAGGAAAAGTGTGAATGAGGTGCTTTTTAAAAACAATATTAAACAGCAAATGGCTTCCAATGAGCCGACACTACCTTCATACAGTCCGTATGCCTAGTTTGGAGGGTCAAGTACACACTGCTGTGATTTTTCTTTATCACAGTAGGATCCCCAGAGACTTGTATTTTTGCTGCAAATACCAGCATAACTCTAATCTCCCCTTGATCTATATTTTCTGTCCTTTACCCCCAATCTCTCTAAAAGTAGCTGTTAGAAATCTTAAGAGTTTCTGCCTAAAAAAAGTTAGAGATGTCTATGTTTTATAAACATTTACTAAATGTCTGTATTTTTAATCCCATGAAATATTTTGTCTTCTGATTTTCTCCTAATTCATAAATCAGGATTAAAGGCCAGCTGCTGCGTTTAAGGAAGTGTATGAATTAGCATAGACATATATTATGCTGATATGATTATGCTAAATTAACTGGCATAAAAAATATATCATTTGTTCACAAACTTAGTATCTGCTTGGTTATGTTAGGCACAAATAGGGAGTTTCATTCTTTCTTGATATTTTTTTTCCGTTCCATCTTGAGACAAAGCATTCTTGAATTACCTGCTATATAAGAAATCCAGACAGTACAACAATATATTTTTATGTATTAGTTAAGTAAAATCATTAAATTATCTGGAGGTAGTCAAGAAATATTTAAATCAGACCTAGAAGGAGCAGAGTGAATTAGTTTGTAATTGGAATTTTTAATGCAACCACAGACATCTAACAGTCAATCAAAGAAATGTTAGCTTAAGAGGTATCCAAGTCTGTTACATGCTATACACACAGCTATCCCAGAAGAAGTGAGCCGGAGAAATTCTGACAATTCTATTGCTTTAGGTTAGTACTAAGGCCTTTGAACATTCATTGTTTTTTAATCAATGTTTGGGGTTATGAAATTCAGTGGCATTGTGAAAGACCAAGAAAGAAAAGTAGAAAGAAATGGTATTATTGAAGAACGCAAAGTAGGAAGAAGACTGATCAGAAAATTGTTTACAATGAAAAAAAATGTAAAACCAAAATGAACAGATGTAAATCATAAATGTCAAAGCACTGCCATAAAAACTGATTGGAAACCTGATACCACAGTTTTCTAGGTACTAAGGAATACATATATTTTCCTGGAGCAATGTATCCAATAAGCAACTCAATATGCAGCTATTTTATAACTGCTTCTATTAGGGGCTGAAAGTGATGGTTATGGACAAGCTCTTTGTGATGCTTTATTGCTTGTGGCATTCAAGCAACTTGTCACCTCACATGTCCTTTTCACACAGCATTTTGAATTGAAGTTAAGCAAGAGACTGGGAAAGGCTCTTAAGACAAAACATTTGCTATCAGGATATTTGCCATTAATGAGTGTTGTTTTTTGATGTTGTGAAGTGATCCTTGAAATTCCCTGATATTCAGCCCACTCTCAGCTCCTTCAGACAGAAATCAACACAGATTAGATTGTCTGAGTGGCTGTTTCATGAGCCATGTTTTTCACAGCATTCCGCCCCTTTCATCCTTTAAGGAATGCACTCAGAATCACAGAAAACCAGAGTCACTGTGGCCATTGGGGTAGAGGTGTAGCAGTAACAGCTCCATTTAGATTCATCTCTGAGGACTGTGTACTCCTTGAAGATGTTAGGAATCAGGTTTCCATACAGTTAGAACTGAGTTCCCTGATGAGGCCTTACCCTTTGGGATACCTGATAAAGGATCAGTAAAATCAGAAGTGTTTGGGTCATCTTGAACTACAAATTTCCGGGAGCTCGTCAGTTTAGGTCTCCAGGTACCAATCACTTTAGGTGTGATTTCTGGGATACTTGCCACTGTGGTAACAGAAGATGAAGATACCTCCATGTCTGTGGTGCAAACAGATGTCCATTAACACGGGTAGCGTCAGAAGCCTTTTTTGATTGGTCTGTGCATTTTTAAGTCAAGTTTAAGTAAATGGTATGAGAAAGCTTGTTCTAGGATTTTGCAAAAACACACCTGAGAAGCCTACACCAAATCCCTTTCTTGCAAGAGAAGAAAACTAAAAGTTAACAGACATATTAAGCAGATTTCAGAATTGAAGACAATGACACATTCCCATTGAAGCAGGAGTGGTTATTAACACTGCTCATGGAAAAGGTAACACAAATCCCAGTGCAGTCTGATTGTGGTTTTCTCATCCTTTTATGAGACAATTTCATTTCATTTCTCTCCGTTTTCATGTGTACTTTACAAAGCACTTTCACAGATCGTTGGAACCTTTATTTCTTTCACTGAGGAAGCTGTGATATAATTTCATCAGAAAATACCTGGTTATGTCTAAGTAAACACTTGACTTTGGACCTGAGACCAGCTCTGCCTAAGAGGTTATTCAGCTTTATCTTGGGCCTTTCTTCCATTCGCATTTTTCTTACACCAAGGGTCTCCTATCCATAGGGAAAGCTCACACCTTGCTTGTGTTCTCCAAAATGCCTGGATACTTTTTTCCAAAGAATAAGCAGCAACTCAGGGAAAAGCAATACCATTTATAAACTGAAAACATATTTTCTGCCATTCTTTTCTTTTCTCTGAGGAACAGAACTACTGAGAGACTGGGAAGCAGTAATAGGACTGAGAGTAACTTAACTTCCTGGTATGTCTATTACTGACTTTCACCAATGAGATTTCCCTCAAAATGTAAGCACATGCTCTGAGGCTAAAACCTGAGACCCCAGTTCAGACAGGGTGACAGTCCCAGATGGAGGCTCCCAAACAAATACAGACAGAGGAGCATGGAGAGCTCTTAGAGCTTCTGAGTACCTCAAAGCCCAGCTTCATCCAGCTGAAGCCTCTTTCACACCACTCAGACCATAACATTCAAAGATTCCCGGGATTACCACAAAACATTCAAGAAAGATCTTTAAAACTCATAAATACACATTTTTGGGAAATGTGTATTTGTTTATTAGGTCTTAAGAAAAATGAGGAGAGAAGGGAGAAATTATGAAATTTTGCCATCCATTCAATATAGATGGCTAGAGGAAACAAACATTCACAATGCAAAGGGGTGAGAAAGAAGAAAGCTCGGGTGGGCGTGCGTGCAGCTGGAATGCAGTTTACGTTAACCCACTTGATTTTCTGAAAGGATGTGCCTTGGTCAATGATGAACTGTTAACATGCTACACAGGGGTGGAGTGCTGAGTAAGAAAAAGTCTTTGGGTACCATCAGTGGGATTATGAATCAAAGCAGAAAAATGAAGGGCTGCCAAACTGCGCAAAAGGAGGGGAGAGGGGGCTGAAAATGCTGAACTGAAGGAAAGAAAAGGTTGTTAATTCAAAAAAATTAAAAAAAACTAACCAGATGTTGGACCGCCAAATATTTTGTAATCTGGTGTAGTTGAAGTAGGCAAAATTTCTAAAAGAATTAAAGGAACAAGTAATCAGTGAAAAGTAACCAAAAGAAAGCAAAAAATTTATGAATTCCAATTAACTAAAAAAGTCAAAAGAAAAGACTACGAATTAAAAGGTTAACCTATGGGTTAGACTACCTTTCTCTAGATTTTTCTACAAAATTGTAAACAGTGAAGGAAAAGAAAAGGTAAGATTCTTTTCTAATGTATCCCCATGACTAAACAGCTCAGCTTTTGCGAAGTTTAAGTCAAATGCTAGGTGGTTATGTGTCCTTGGTCATTAAAAAGGCTGATTGTAAAATAATGTTCACGTGCAAATGTGGTCCAAAAGAAATGGCAGGAAGGAAGGGAAAAGTCTGTCTTACCATGGCAGTCCCCTAGATGGGCCGTGTTGCCATATTCTGTGTCTTGCTCATATCCTCCAGCGCTGTGGTTATGGAAAGTAAAGAAGTCTTCAGTTAACAGCCTTCATAGGGACACAAGTGACAACCAGAGCAGAACCAAGAACACACACTGATTAGTAAGAATGGGCAGAGAGCACATACTGATATTTCAACACGACTTGCTAACATGTTTGTTAAAATTCTAGCTAGAATGGTTAAGAGTATAAAAGAAGAGAATTGGTTTTTTTTCCCTCTGCATCCACTTCCCTTAAGTATTATTATGTCTGTAAATTTGCTTCCTTCTTACATTTCAGGTTGTTTTCCTTCTCCCATTACCATCCCCACACCACCCCCTAAAAAAAGGAAAAGAGTAAGAAAAAGAAAAACAGAAAAGAAAAGGAGAATAGTATAATTGGAAGTTTCTAACGTTTCTAGTTTAGTGACTCTACACAAGACAGTTCATGGCTAACATGACAAAACATACTTACAACATCCCCAGAGTGACTCTCCCACAGGCTCCCTGGCTTAACCAGCCACAGTATGGGTCACGAGATGCAATACAAGACCTGTATAAAACCAAGCAGAATGTGACTTGGATTTTCTCATTAACAGAGGTTTTCATGCTTCAAGACTAGTGTAAGTAAAGAAACACGAGCTCACTTTTTACATGATCCATACCGCTCACAGCGGCTGAGGGGGATACGGACAACACAGCTAGAGAATGCCACGTACAAAGCATGGTGGTCTTTATCCAACTGCAGTGCGATGACCTTTTTGTCTTCCTCATTCTCAGCATTGCACCTATTTTAGGAGACACATTTTGAAGCCATACATTTAGTCCGTCAAAAGCTACATGAATTATACAAGGCAAGTGTGGTATGGTTTTGCAGTTACTAAGAACTGGAGCAATCTTAGAAAATATTCTTGGTAACAAACCAGGTAAGTCCATAGTTTGGAGAATAGTAATTATGTGATTCATCTCTGTTTCTTTGCATGGCTGCTTAAATTTCACGCTGGAAAAAGGGTTTTTTAAGATTGTTTTTCTGTTATGATGATGAAAGAGGATTGCATTTGTGAAGGACATGTTAGGACTCTAGGAGATGAAGTAGGTAAGATTTTAATAGATTTACTTCTTCCAGACTAGATGGTTCTAGATTTCTCAGCTCCATTTCTCTCACCTATTTCTTGTTTATTTTAGTTGTCCAAATAATCTCTACGTGTCACTGGTTGTAAGAAAACACTAAACTATAAATATATTCTCTGTGTGCCTGTGTGAGTGCTCATGACCAACTGTCTGCCACATGTAGCATCCTGAAATATATCTACACGGTAAGGGAAGTAATGCTAAAATGTTCTCATTTTCCACAGGTGAAAAACAAGGGCTAAATTATTCTTAAACTCATCAACTGTTCACCCTCCTTGGACCTAGTGGCTCAGAAAACAAACAGGGCTGGAATTAATTCCAGTGAGGAAAAGAAACCCAAACAACAAACAACATGAATATGCCAAACTACCACTATTTAGAAGACCGATAGGAAATAAGTAGATGAAATACTCCAAAGAAATTTTTGAGCAGTGCTTAAGAGCATTCTTGTAAAATATACCTACTTTGCTTGGTTGTAAGCTTCAATCTCTTCCAGTAACACGCTGTCATTCAAAGAGGAAGGACTGGTCTTTGCCAAAACTTTAAGTACCACGCCAGCTTCAGAGCCAACAAAGATGACTGTGTAGTTCTGGTAGGGCCCTGCAGAACGGTCCACGGCAATGGCTGTCAATCTGTACCTGCCAGAGGAGGTGGGGCAAGTCAGATGGAGAAGCCAATCACAAGAGAACCGGAATGAGAACTGGCCACTGTTTCCCCACACAATCTCACCTGACCCTTGTCTTTGTGAACCAGGGCTCATCGGCAATGGGTGGAACAGCTGAGTCCATGAGGGGGTGGGATTTGATGAATGACAGGGTTTCATCAGGAAAGTCGATGGAGGTTTTGTAAGCTTCAGCAAGGCCATGTTTTGCACAACAGCCAGGCCTGAAAGGAAAACAGTGTTCTTTTACTGCTCCCCCGCATAAACTGTATCTAAGGAGTAAGCGCACATTCTGAAAGAAGAGGTCAAGAGAGGAAGGAGTCAGCAAAACCAGAGGAGCAGTGCTATTTCCCTGAATGCCATGGGTTCTCCACATTCACACTCACAGGGTGGCAGGTTATAGGTTAATGTTTACTAGCTTTGTCTGAGATGCTGCAGAGGGACCACTTTCTGAGGTGGGATGCTAGCCCAGATGCTCTTTGAGGATAGATGGATGGGTGCTTCCAATGACCATAGGATTTTTGTTCAAGACAAAATCCTTTTTCCACTTTTTTCTTTACCTTGGCTTTGGCACTTTGTCTTCAGGGACTGCTGTCCAAACAGAATCCGGAGTTTTCTGTTCTTTAAAACGTCCTTTGAATACCTTTTCAATGTCATCCATGCTAAATGCACAGACTGCAGAACCAGGAATGCTGGGGGAAAAAAAAAAAAAAACCAAGAAAACCATCAGGGACAATGAGCAAGCACATGCTTTTTCCTGACAAGTGAGTGCAGAACATTTTTTTTTTGAAGCACCAGGGATGCGCGCTCACCTGTTCAGCTGTGTGGTAAACACCCCAACCACAGTGTGGATGCCATTGATTTGTATTATGTCTGTAATAGACTGCAGAACATCAAAGTAGAAAAACGAATCTCCAGGGACGGAACAGTTAAGACGAGCCTTCAGAAACGAAGTCCAGTGTTTCTCTAGAACCCGCTGGGAGCCACCCATGTCATTTTTACATATGCGGGCGACTCGGGAATACACAGCCTACCCAGGGACAAAAGCAAAGCAATGTGGTTATGAGCTTAGAGGAACAGGAACAAAATGCTGCTATTTAAGGAAGTAACAAAAAAATGCTAGGATATCTGGTTCAAAACAATCTAGCTGCCTTCTCTCCAGGGGTCCGTAAAGTAAGAATATAAACTAGGTTTACCTGTGAGGAAAAAAAGGGCCAATTTATCTTGTGGAAACATGCCCGCAAGACCTGAACTGTCTATTTGCTGTGCTGAATGAAAATCATTGCCATACTTCATTTTGCACTGTTAATGAGATGTGCCATTGTAGGCCCGGTGTGGTGGTCTCTGCCCATAATCTCAGCTTTTGGGAGGTAGAGGCAAGAGGATGATGAGTTTGAAGCCAGCTTGGGCTCTGTAACTGGGCATGGTGGCTCAAGCCTGTAATCCTTCTACTTGGGAGGTAGAGATCAGCAGGATTTCTGTTCGAGGCAAGCCTGGGCAAAAAGTTTGCAAGATCCATCTCCACTAATAAAAGCTGGGCATAGTGGCACATGCCTGTCATCCCAGCTATGCAGGAAGCATAAATAGGAAGATCGTGGTCCAGGCCACCTCAGGCATAAACTTTTCAAATCCTATTTGAAAAAAATAACTAAAGCAAAAATGGTTGGGATGTGGTCACGTGACAGAGCACCTGCCTAGCAAGTGTGAGGCCCTGAGTGCAAACCTTAGTACTGCCCCTCCCCCAGTGGTCTTGAAACTTGGCATAGAAGTTGCAATACTTTAAGATCACAGGGGCTTTCACTCCAACACTCTAAATTGAACAGGAGTCACTACTCTCCATTCTGCCTTTTGAACATGAAAAAGACTAGACTACCAATAGATTTCCAGAAACCCCCACTGCTTAAGGGTACATGTAGAACAGTTCCCATGATGACAGAAAAAAAAAAAAAATAAAGACTTCTGAAGGCCCAAGGCTGCTCTGCCCTCTCTGGCCATTGCTCAGGTGTTTCTGAGCAATTATTCTCCTAAGCAACACTGCTCTCTGTACTTGGCTTTACATGCACTGAACTGATACTGGAAAACACTCCAAGAGAGCATCCGTCACTCTACCAAACAGGTCTCAATTCACGCAGTTTGCATCTGCAGTACAAATCAAAGTATGCGTACTTACTTTGCCTAAATTATTATGCTCCACCGCGATTTCTCGAAAGAAAAAATAGACATAGTTTCCATATTCTATGGCATGGAGAAAGTGTGGCTCTGAAAGAAAAAATGGAAACAAATTGGTTCCTAAAGGATAATTCAATTAGAGTAAGACCCTGATTGCTAGGTATAACTACAGATGTTGCAGAGTTACATCCAAGCTGACGGTTTTGAGGAGTCCCAATAGGGTGTGTTCAAGCTTCAGGGAGCCCGTCATCTTTAAAGCCAGCTAATGGACTGCAAAAAGGCCTACAGGGAACTGGACCTCAGCAAAGGTCTTTGTTTCAACAGATGTATTCATTAACCTATTTAACTAGGGAAGAAAAGCTCTTGTATTGAGAATAAAAAAATCTTGATTTCTAGAATCTAAAGAACAAAATGATAGCATTAGCTAATCAGTTCTTGCTGTTAACTTTCCAAGATAGGTCGACAGGAGTAGACAGTATATTATGTGTATTTAAAGTTAAGACAAATTAGTACATGGAGACAAGAGCTCTGTGTAGGTTTTGGGTTTAGTTTTGGGGCTCCTTGAATTGCTGGATGAACTTAACTCCCCTGACATACATTTTTTGGTGTGTCCTCTTTCCCCATCTCTGCTCCTGTTTGTAATCAAAGTACTGTGTATTTACTTTAGATGAACAATAAAATCATACACTGAACTTCCTGATGGCCTTGGCTGCTGCTCCCACTTGAGCCATCCCACTGTCCCTATTGACCCCTCGACATTGCTCTTCAAAGGTACCTTTTATCCACTTGGAATCATATTTTATTGTGCGAAGGGCAGATCCATCACCCATGCTTCGATAAATCACAGCATCACTGGCCAAGAAGTCAGCCACTGTGGCAGAATATAGTTTCCCATCTGAAACCAAAGTTATAATTTGGTAAAATAACCATAATTATCCTGCAGTGTGTTAGCCTATGTAATGTGTTATACCCTGTACAGTGCTTTCACCTGTTATCATTATTACAAATAAACGTATACCTGATGCTCACACTCAACCTCTAGTAGGTTGTCCCATGATATCACCTAATTTTACAGATGATGGATATAAGCATCAAAAATTAAGCAACTTATCCAGGGTCACTGACTTAGTAAACAAGAAAGCCATGTATCAGAATACTTTTAATATGCACTGAATATCCTTGCTTTTAATGTCTTATTTAAAAAAATGTTCATAGATTTTAGCCTTTGAAATGCCTTGTACTAGGGTGTCTATCCAACTTATAAGTTTTTTCTTCCCTTAAATTCTTTCTGTACCTTCAATGTCATTAATCATTTATCTTCATTACACTATGGGTTCTTACCAGCAAACAGGGCAACATTGGTTTGTCTGGCATCAAATGGACATCTTGCCAGGCCACTAATTTCTTCCCCATCATACTCTAAGGTATTCAACTACAAAATAAAAATAAACAGAGGGTGTCACATCTGTTCAATGTACCTATTCAAAGGCAATATTGCTTTATTTATATTGAAATTCTAGTTGATGAATTCTGTTTTTATTCTTTTATAGCATTAGGGATAAAACAAATTGCTAGATGATAGCAGAAAAGATTCAACTCTAACAGCATACCACTAAAGGAAAAACAGTTGATCAAAAAAAGGCACATTATATAAAACATACTTACCCTATAGTATCTACACATGGGATTGAATGCATTGGTGCCACAGACAAAAACCATCTCATCATTTCTTGGAACAAATACTTTGATAAAGTTGTGGCATTCATCCTAAAGGAAGAAATTGCATTAATGTTAGACACTGCATATGCTGACATTATGGTATCAAGCCCACAAAAAAACTAAATCCAGCAGGCACTTGTCTGCTCAACTCACTTTATGTTTGCCTTTCATAGCACAGTTTTCTCGATCCTGTTGTCTTGATCTCCACGTCAGCTTCTGTATTAATCAAGCACAATCAAAGTTCAGTTTTTAACTGGGAACAGTTTTGGAGGGTATGGGGAGCATTAGTCAAATTCTGAGGGAATGCAAATAAATTTGCCCACTGTAGCTACTCACCTTGTTTGGTATGACTTCTGTTTTGGGGACTTCATTTAAGTTCACTGTATAAACTTGATCCCTGTTGGAAATGAGGCAATAAGTCACACCATGTGCATACATAAAAATGTTAAGCTGCTTCTTATTTTACTTTTACAGATCTGCCTTTATTGTGTTTTGGAGATCATCTGGATTTTCTCTGTCTCAAACAAAGTCAACAAAGAGTACTTTTCATTAGTGAGATGCTTTTATATATTGCTATAGTCAAAGAGCAAAGAAAAGCTCTTTAGGCCTGGGTCAAACTGCTACTTGGTATTAGCATAGATATATGTCTAATATTTGCTTGAATAATTCTAAGTTAAAAAAAGAATAAAGAAAAATTTTTTTCCCTGCTGCTTTATGAAAAAAGAGTGGTGTATGATTTCTTGATGGCAGTAATAAAACACCATTGCTGAAGGTTTTAGCTTTGTGTTTTGTTCCTGGTACACAACTGACTCTTCTTGGTATTTTTGGCTACTTGCAATTCTTGATCACAATCACATATTAGTTTTTCATGAACTAGACACATTAATGCAAGCACCACAAGAGAAAAGAATTTTAATCTAATAAACCAACGAGAGGAAAATTACCTGCCAGCAATATAAAGTGTGTCTCGAATTTTCAACATCAGCTGAAAGTCCAGCCTGTGTTGCGATTCATTGCCTGAAGGGCGTCCTCTAAAAACTGGATATTGCCTTGAATCTGCAAGTAAAAATGGGCTAAACCATCAGTCAGGATTACGGAGCTGGAGAATCAATATACAGCATTGATTAGCTGTATATACTAGTTGTAGAAGGGTTTTAACTAAATTCCTCTCTTAATGTCTTGAATATAAATGAATAAAAAATGATAAAATGTCAGCAAATGGTCTTTTTCTTTTCACTGAAAATGTATAACATTTTATATATATATATATATATTATATATATATATATATATGGGTAGCCAGAAAAATAGTCAACAAAACTGTTCCATTGTCTCCAAACACAAGGAAATGATTACAGATAAATTAATATGCAAAACATTTTAGAGACATAAAAATCTCTCTGTGGTTCTGAAAATGAATATGCTTAGCAAATGAAGAACAAAAAAAGGCTGACTTCTTAAAAAAGGACACTGCTTTGGATGACTTACAGTGGAAGTCAACAGTATTTAGAGGCTCATCGTCTTCGGGAAAGCTGACTGCCCTCAGCTGGAAAATCCTCAGGAGCAACATGTAGACATAAAGCAGGAAGAACCTCATGGTGGGCCTTGGTGAAGTCAGAGCCGCACCTCCTCAGAAGTCCCACTTAACTACCTGGAAAACAGAAGCAGTTTGGAAAGATCTGAATGCTGTGATGAAACTGTCTTCTCACTTGTAATTGGCTCTATTTTCATCCCTGCTCCTTTCAAAGATCTCCCCCCCAACCCACCCACCCCTACTCTGCGACCAGGAATCATGCTGCTGCTGGATCAGGTATCTCCACAAACACAGGCAAAAGATGGCAGTGGGCCAGGCCTGCCTAAAGCATCCCGTGAGCATATTGACGTTTTAGGCAAATTTGCAAAAATTTTTGAGGTAACTATGTCATCACAGCAAAATCACCAGAACTGCACACAGAAAAAGCTGGCTGCTGACTTGGCAAGGAGATGGGCAAAGTTGGGACCAGAATTTTAATTAAACTTCAATCTGTATCCCATCCCCCAGTCCTGAAGTACATCCAATATAGCAGGTCTCTGCCCACCCCCTTATAAAATGCCCAAGCTGCCTCAAAAATGTCCAGAGAGCTGATGACATGGGCTCTTTGCCTAGGTGTTGCCAAGTTCCCAGCATTGCCCAAGCCTTAGCTTGAAATTCTTAAGTAGAGCGTTTCCTGAAGCTTAGTAAGACCAACATGGAAACAATGACAAGTGACCTTGAATCAGGGTGAATGGGAACGAAAAGAAATTAAATGATTTCATGATAACAAATCAAGCACAACAGGGAGGGATGGAGCACACAGCTGACACCCAGCCACTAGGGACACCCACAGTTTTACATAAAACCACTTGGACACAAACCAGTAATACCCTAAATATGCCTGTCCTCTTAGCTTTATTGAACTTAACAGTTGCAGGGCACCTTAGTGACCAGCTAGCCCAGCTCCTCATTTTTCAGATGACAAAACTAAGGGCTGGAGAAATGAATTCCACTCAGTGACTTTCATGCAGCTGATGAGGGAAGGATTGGAGCCCAGACTCACATCAACTAAGTACCTTTCCAGGTTCTTTTCTCCAAACTAGATGGAAAAAATAAGTGGATATTTTTCCCTTAAAAATGCAACATTAAGACAAGACTTCTTTGGGGAATGGACATATTCACCACCTTTATTAAAGTCATGTTTTACAGATGTTAAATTGTACATTAAATACATTTTGTTTAATATAGACCAACACCTCAATATAGCTATAAGAACAGAGAATTAAATTGTATAATAATCCCAGTAAAAATAATTTAAAAGCTCTTTAAATGTTACTAACTTATTGTAAAGACAAATTAGGGCTCTACTGGGTCAATGGAATGAACAGTTCTGTAAAACTGTTAAGTGCTCTGCTTGGCAACCAAAATTGTCACTTCTAACTACTGCATTGAACAATAAGACATTTAGCATTAGCTTAGGTCCTGTATACCTAAGAACTGTTGGGGAAATCATAAAGAACCATTTCAAATTCTGGGGTGGGGGTCTTCCTAGCCACTCACCCAAGTACTTACTGTGCTGCTTTCTATCTACCTAATGTCAAGCTCAAAGCTGTGTGTATATGGATGCTATGCAGTATTTCTTTCTAATTAAAGTAGAAGCCAAGTCTATGTGAGTTTTAGAAGCCTAGTCTCTGAGACTAAGATTGCAACAAAAATTTTCTTAATGGATGATGAATACATACATTAACACATATAAAATACCTTACAGAAAGCAAGGTGGGATAGAAGGAGTGTGGTCTTTGAAAGGCAGTCTGGCTTGGAGTTGGATGGAACTCTACCACTTGCTAGGCAATGGACCTGAGAAAGGTTCTTCAGTCCTGAGCATTCCTTTCCTTACGTATAAAATGTGGATCACAGACCTCTTTTTTTTTTTTTCCAGGGTGAAAAAAATCCTAAATACTTGGTATGCAGCAGACTCTGAGCAAAGTACTTATGTATGACCAGGCTGACTTTAAGAGTCCAAACAAGGTCTGGGGAAAAGATATTCTAAAATATGACAATTGGCCAACTGTTTGGCTATTTCTCCCATAAGCGGTTATTTAAAAATACTAAAGGACTACATACAGAATAAACCTTACAACTTGTGTCTATTAAACTTGGAAAAGAAAGTAAAAAAGTAATCACCCATCTCTTCTTTCAAGAATCCCGCCATCCTAACCCTACAACCATCCTGATTTATTCTAGTTCTTTGTCACACGATTTCATCTGTGACAAGATGGCCTTTTCCCATCTGCCTCTTCTTCCAAAGTGTCTCCTCTCTTGCTTTTTCCATAATGTTTTAAAAACTCTAGAATGATGAAGCAGTAGAAAGGAATTTTCTTAGGTGCCTTAAGAAAATTCTGCTATGGCACCAATCCCAACTGTATCTCTAGATGCAAAGTCACTAGTCCTTTCTGCTAGGTATCAGGAGAAACAGAAATGCCTGTTATTTCTAAAGAAATGTGCAAAAATATGCATGAAAACCAGAAGTTCTGTGAATTTTCCTCCTCCATAATAGGTAACTGAATGGCTCACATTCATCAGGCAAATCTTCCTTGTCCCAGATTGCAGGGGAAAGAGGCGCCCTCATCAGGAAAAGCATCTCTCAGCTATGATCCTAAGACTGGGGATGGACTCACTGCTGACTCACTGGCGAGCATTGAGCATCGAGCTGCAGGCTGAGCTATCATTTCCTATAACTCATTCATTTGACACCACAGAGAACACTTCTCCCCACACCCTGCCTGCTGCCAACTTAATCCTCCAAAAATAAAGCCTTGCTACTAACTCCTTCCTGTCCCTACAAAAAGCTTTATTTAAAAGAAAATACAGATTTGCTATAGAAGTTACAAATGGAAGTATTTAATGTTGTACATATATTTAAATAGGAGTGGGCGGGAGCAGAAAAAACCTGGAAATACCTGAGAGAAATGTACCAAGGGGAATTATTTGCATGTAAGCCCCTCAGACTGCTGAGTTCTCACTTTATTTAAGAACCTGAGGATTTCAGGGCTCAATGAAATCAGGAAACTTGTGATGATGAATGAGGGCAAGCAAAAAGGCAGAACAAAGAATTAGAAAAGAACACAACTTTGGAGTTAGAAAATTTTGAGTTCCAGCTTTCTCATGCCATTTACTTCCTGGCTCTGGACTTTAAGTTGACTTAATCTTTTTAAGACTCGGTTTCCTGAAGTGTTGATGGGGTTTCCTACCCCAGCAACTCTTCTTAAGATTAAACCTATATAAAGCATCTAACCTGGAACCTGGTTCATAGCAAACCTCTAGCAAATTTTAGTAAATATTAGGACTTATTGCTACATCTCATTGAGCAACAATGATTTTAGAAAAGGAATTTTCACTCTTTCATCTTGTACAACTATTGGCAAAACTATTGTATGTCATCATAACAATGACAGGGATTTTCCTACAAGAAGGTTCAGAGTCATACAAGTAGGTGGCTCCAAGAAGGAAGAGAAAACTAACTTCCTTATGTGTAAGCTTATAGTAAAGAGCATTTTGGTATGAGATTATTCCTTCTAGCTAGAGAACTGGGGTTCCAGAGTAATATATTGTTATTTTGAAGTATTACATTCTTCTGTACATTACTAACATTACCTTAAAAAAATAATGAGGAAAGCTCTTAAAAGCAGTTCTGAGCTACCAAGATAGCCAGGGCTTGGGCAACAAGATCCTTGAAAGAAGGAGATGCAAGGGCTAAGCTACACACACACACCTGATTCCACCTTATGTGATTTGCTGATTCCTAAGGTCTGTACAACTGAGAGTACAGCTATAAAGAAGAACACACTTCTGGCAGTCTGCAGTTTAGGATGCACCAAGAAGGAGTGCTACTAGATAATATCCAAATGCTCTCATTTGAACTTCTGAAACACTGTATCATAGCAGAGAAGAAAAACATGAGGGAGACCAATGTTTACAAAAATTCCAACCCAATTTCCAACAAACTAAGCCCCAGATCGATAGATATAATCTTCTCCCATTCTAGCTGCTTGCCAGAAAAGATAAGGTAAATTGTTTCTAGAAAGAGATAACATCTTTCAAAGACTATAATTTTTTACAAACAATTTTTGACATTCAAACAGTAATTATTAGATATACCAACATGAAGAGAAAAACAATAGGTCAACAGAACTAGGCCTAAAGATAACTCAGATATTAGAGTAATCCAATGTATGTTTAAAAAGTAACTGCTTATTTTATCTAAGAAAAAAGATAACAAGATGGAGAGTTTCACCAGTGAACTGGAAATCATTAAGATAGAATTAAATGGAAACCCTCATCTAAAAACACAGTAACTAAAACTTCTTAATAGACGTGTTTAGTAACATATTAATCTTAGTTGAAGGGAAGATTAGTGAACTGGAAAGCAGATAAAAAGAAATCGGACAGAAATATGGAGAACTAAAAGATTGGAAAAAAAATCAGAAAAGTCTTATGAGGTGATCTAACATTGGAGTCGCTGAGAATGGAAAGAAAAATGAATGCAAGGAATATTTGGCAAGATATTAGTTACATTCTTTTTCCAAATTAACAAAAAATTATAAGCCATACATTAAAAAAAGAGAGAGCTTCTAAACACAAAGAAAAAAAAATCACACTTAGCCAGATCATGATCTAAATGCTTAAAACAAATACAAATTTTTAAAAATGTTAAAAGCTAAAAGACATATTACCTTCAAAGGAGCAAGAATAATCCTCACAGCTGACTTATTCACAGGAACAACAGAAACCAGTAGACCATAGAATGAGACTTTTAAAGCGCTGAAAGAAAATAAATTTCCAGCCTAGAATTTGATAACCAGTGAAGATATTTTTAAAAAGAGAAAACAAAAATAAAAATGTTTTAGATGACTAAAAATTTAAGAGATTCGTTGTTAGCAGACCCAAACCAAAAAGGAACTCTTTAAAAAAAAGAATTTACACGGGAGGCTAATGTAACTTCTTTTTATGATTTTAGTATTCTGGCCAAATGTGAAATTAATGATTCACAGATAAAGAAACTGGTAATATAGTCTCTGGCTTTCTGAAAGCTCCGTCAGTTCAAAGAGAGAGGGAATGCAGAAATGGAGCAAATCTAC